GAGGGCAAATAAGGACGTGAGTATTTTAAATGGATGATTGAATCTGGGTAGCTTGATCTCCTTCCATGCTGTGGATGTTGTGTGCTGCAGTCACGCCTCTCACTGCCAGCCTGCGCTGGGATGATAATCAGTCACTATGAAAACTCATTAGCTCCACAGCAATGAGTCCTCCACTGCTGAAGCTTGGTGCTGTTCTTAGTACCATGGCAATGATCTCTAACTGGATGTCCCAAACTCTCCCATCTCTGGTAGGACTCAATACCACCAGAATAACCACTTCAGATACTCTAGTAAGTAGCTCTGATGTGTTGCAAGCCATCTTACTGCTGAAGTAGTATTTAAGTGCCAGCAAAAGCTTTAGTTTGTTGCCTCTTTGTAAATCTCTTTTTAAGCTACTAATCTTCCTATCTATCGTCTCTTAATGCATGCTTCTCTCTGGGCATCATAAAACTGCACATTAGTGAGCATGTTGTGGTCTTACTATGAAAGGAGAGATTTTAAAATAGCATCCTTAAATATTTAAGAACAAATGCCTTCATCTTGAGCGTGAAATGCTAAAAATAGTACAGCAATGTCGTTTCATTTGTCTAGGCTTTTTTTCCTATGTTTACTGCTCCAGAAAAACGTATTGCATTATTAAGAGAAAAAAAATATCTGGCAGTAGGTTTCTTTTTGTCTGAATAATGTTATATATTAGCTATTCGCTACAATATGCAAGGGGTCTGGTTCTTTCCTAATTTGCCTTATCGGAGTACAGTTAAGCAAATAGCTGTTAGAAACAAAATAAAATTGGTACTAGGAGGTCGGGTACCAGAATTTTAGAAAGGCTGACGTGGGAATAATACAAATGACACAAATATCACTTGGTATGGTTGACGCTCATATACAGCAGCCTCCGTTAATGAAGACCTACAGAAAAGCTGTGATTAACTACTCATGAGAAGCCTAAATATTAAAGTAATACTTTAATTGGACAAGAGGGAACACTATACTGGTATTCATAAATTAAACTAGAGCACCATTTTCTTAAATGTTTAGTAAAACACTCTGTGTATCTTTTTGTGTAACTGCAATCACGTTTACATAATAGTATGTTATGTAAAATGTAAATTTAACTATTTGTACAGTAGTTCACTATGCTCAGTGTTTAGTTGCAACTCAAAATGATGCATTTACTAATCAACATTTAATTAATTGAATATATGCAGGAAAAACATTACTGCACTTAGACTTTAAATATTACTACTTTAAAATTAATTAAATGATGTTGTAAGAAAGAATTCTGTTGTGCTTTAGAGCAGCAAGAAGGTGAGAAGACAAGGAAAAGCTCTATTTTCTTTTCCTTAGATGTAACTTGTGCTCATTGAACTATAATATATATTGCTAGTTCCTGTGGCAATATGATGTTACAAGTAATAAAGTTCCCTGTCACATTGCAACCCAAGTTTAAAGTTGCAACTGAGTAACTAAGAGGTGCCCACTAGTTATGATAACACACACGCATCTATTTATACAGACACACATATGTGCTTTTATGTATTAACATGTTCAGATTCCAAGTAGGCTAAACTGTAAACTGTCACGCTTCCCTTGGTTACAACAGAGCACTGCTGATGTAAATGCCTCCTAAGTATTATTTCGGCAATGCTCTTTGCACCGCGTCGGAGTTAAATGCACGTTTTGTGTTTCCAGAGGGGGAGCAGGAGTGCCTGTAGAGCTGGGGAAACAATCAGAAAAACCTGGTTATCCGAGCTTGGCAACATCTGCCAAGTAAAAGAAAAACACGAACTTCAGTCATGTGGGGTTCTTTTTGCATAAAACCAAGCACCCCAAATCTCCTACCTTCTTCTAAGCTTTCGATGTGGGCAGAGAGACTTTACGCCCCAGGTGCTCAGTAATACTGGGGCCATCACTGACTGGTTTTTAACTGCCGTCAAGCATTATCCACCGGCAGCTCGTCCAGTAAGCAGTGCAGCCCATGCGCTCCTCCACAAGTGCTCTCCTGGCACACGCGCAGCTCCTAAATTGTGTATGTTGTACCAGGAAGAAAAGAACAAAACCTCCCAATTTCCTCCCTTCAGCTGGAGGAATTGCACAGGGAGGGGGGGGTCGGGGAACGGGCCTCCTCTTCTCAGCTCTGTTACAGTCCCAGGATTGAAATTGCAAGACAAACCAAAAAATACTGTTTATATTTAAGCAACCATATTAAGTAGACATACTGCCATTTGCCCTGTCACTAGTAACAATGGAGGTGACTATAACACCTTTATCAGAGTATATGAAAGCGCAAGTGAAAAAATAAATCTTTTGGAGGTAAGCGAAGCGTCTGTAGCACAGCACCCTGCCAAGGCAATGATTAATATTGGTCTTTGTAGGGAGTCCTCTGTTTTCCCCAGATTTTCAAGAGCTAGCATAATTTATTATCATTGCTGTTCTCCACTTGTTATTTCTGTTCTTGTTTGTTTACTAAGGCCTGTCAGCAGTAAGCCTGCATTTGAAGAGTAAATTCAGTAGCTTCTGTAAGGTTTTGATGCCTACTAGCTCCTTCCCTGCACGGCACAGCAGTTTCTGCTTGAGGTAGGAACTAAATGTCACACTAAAAAAATAACAGAGGGGAAGGAAAAAAAAAAAAAAGGCAAAGCGCACCTACACACACTTGCTTGTTTTTCTCCGTGATCACTCATATTACCCGTCCTAATTAGTGAAGGAACCGTAATGGCCCAAATACAGGGAGCCACAGAATACCACAAAGAACTGTAGCCTAAATTGTGGGAGTACTACGTGAGCGCTTCTTTATGCACAGGCAGCCAATAACCGTGCACTCAGATCCGGCCTGACAGTCTCTCACTGTGAGAAATATTTTCCCAAATTTTTAAAATCAAGCCGTATGTTAGACACCATAAGAAACTATCTGCCAAGTTAATCAATAAAAGGGATTTTTTTTCCCTTAGATAAAGCCGAGAGAGACACGCATGACATCTTAGAATATATAAATACCTTTGATAACGCAGCTTGGATTATAATGGCTTTGCTATAGACTGTGCACATGATCCTGGTATCTCATCCATTCTCCGCTGTAGAAAACTTACTTGAATGCAGTAACACCAGTTGCTACCAATCTAAATGAAGCAGGTATAAGGCTCAAATGTCAGAATTTTTCATAAACTCCTATTAAGTATTTCTGTCCTAAAGGAATTATAATCACAAGCTCTAGGTTCCTGAACTTGTTCCTGAACTTCAACAAAAATTTGGTTTCCTCGCTCTTGCATGACACTGTCTGGGCATAAGTTCTACAGAGAATCATGGAAACTACTGGAGTGAATAGAGCTTACGCTTCACAAGGGTTCCCAGCCTTGACAGGCTTCAGTTGTTTAAGCTTGCAATTTTAGTAGCTGCTCAAAACCAATTTAGCTTGTCTCTGCAGGTGTAATTTTGTTTAAGTTTTTATTGTTCTCCATGTCTTAAACTAGATTCTCTTTGCCCTAAAAATTAAGGCGAAGAGAACACCGTAGAGGCAGTATAATTTAGCACCAAATTCTGGATGTGCCTTTCTAGCAAACCCTAAGGCAAGTTCAGCTCTCCTCTTTTTACAGCCATCTACATTGTGACACTTCATTTTTCCGTGCAAAACAAGGGAACAATACAATTTTGATTTTTTTAATTAACTCCGCAGTCACTGCTGTCTTCAACGACTTCAGAAGAGTCATTGTTGTGAAAAGTCTGTGCTCTTTTCCAACCTCAGTCTACAGAGACATTGCACCTCTTCTGAGGTGAGGAACTCTGCAACTTATTCGGCACTAAGCTGCCAGTAAAGCATCAATATCAAAGCTTGCCAGTTCAAATAATCACGCTCTGTGCTGACACCGAGTACAATTCTATAATATAACTAGTAATTGATTCCAGCTGTGTCCAAACCAGAATTAATTCAATGGCATCCATTAGCATCCGTACTATGAAATCCAGTAGTCAATACTAGATTATTAGGAAAGAATAATGCATAATATTAACTTTAAATTACAGATTAAAAAGTAAAAGAATTACTTCTTGTGTCCATTAGTTTTAATTCCATCACCTGAATCTTTTCAATCACCTAATTATATTGCTTTCTCTCATTCTTATGCTGTGTATTTCTATACATCCCATTAAATAGACAGATACCTACTCTCACAAGGCATCACACAAACTTTAAATGCAGTGCAGCGTTAGCCCGCTCCGCAAGCAAACGTGATTTTTTTTGTTTTTCTTTCTCAGTGGTGGTGGTGGCTGCTGGAAAAAAAGAACAGGTTAGGAATTTCCAAATTCTTCTGTCCCAGTGAAGGACGTGCGATGTCTTAATTGCACCGTGCCATGCTTGCCACGACCCCCCTTCACCTAAACTAACCAGACACTTTTCAGTACTACCCTGCAGCAAGGCTCTCCCTCCCTTTGGTGAACGTGCAGTAGAAGTCAATGGAGAAGAGTTTTCTCTGTGCTGCATCTTTAAGAGCAAACCTGCTAACCCACGTCCCGAGCCGCTGCCGCGCCGGTTCCCAGCGCGTCAGTCACATACACAAGTGCTCGCTCTTTGGGGTTTTATATTTGTTCTTTTCGGTCTTTGTTGTTTCCATTAGTCTAAAGTAAAAGCCATTCAGGCTGAAAGGACGTGTTTGTTCCCTGCTGACGAAAAACCGCAACATCCCTTCGCAAAGAATTAAATCAACTAGCTTGTGCTGAATCGCAAGCAGAAAACCGTTCTCGTCTACCCTGGCAACAATGTGTGCTGGACACTTCCAGAGAACTACTAGAAAGGTGTGAGATATGACAAAACTGTGCGAAACCACCAATCTAATTAGTTAAGAGAGTAAGTGTTGACTGGGAGAAACCTCATTGCAAACATATACTGCACAAATAAACACAAAAATATTCTGAGGTAGCGGTTTTTCAAGCAACAAAAAAAATCCATTCAGTTCCCTTTACTTTTATTATCCTGTTGTTACAGACTCAGATTAGCCCCAAGGAAGGGTGGCAAGTTTATAGTTCAGCCCAGGATCCTGATGGCCGTTGCATCTGCACTGTTGTCGCACCTGAACAGAACCTATGTTCAAGAGACGCCAAAAGCAGGCAACTCAGACAACTGCTAGAGAAGGTAAGTCTTCCCAACAAATTCCTCCTTTTGATCGCTAAACTTCCCATGGAAATCCACTCCTTTCCCTCTAAGTTTAATACATAATGGAGTACTGAGGAGTTAACAAAAATATTTCTTCAGGGTGTATCCCCTACCTGTGTTCTCACCACTGATCGTTATTTGTCCGTTTTCCTTGTAAGACACCTTTCCCAACCCCAGCCCCTTACCTAGCAAACTGAAGTTGCATCTTCTCTCGTGTTCACTCCTCCCAAAATTCTTCCTTACCCACAGACAGGACTGGTTTTTCTGTGTAAAAACAGTTACAAATCCCACCTCAAACTAGTTAGCTGCTGTGGGATTTAAACTACAGCTTCTGCTTCAGTCATATGAGACTCTTGAAGGTCATTCCTTGTCTCTTATCAACAAATAACGAGATACAGACATGACGGCAGCTACAAAGCAGACTGTACAGAAGAGAAACAGTTCCAATTTTCTTTCATTTGTTCTTTCCTCAAATAATCCTATTTATTCATTCTCCGGTGGCACAAATTTTCCCCAAACAACCCAATTCTTATTTCCAGTATTACCCACCATTGCATATATAGTAAACCCAGTGAAGTGTTATTTTGCATCAACAACTGAAAAAAAAAATGCTGCAACCACGAAAACACAAACTATTGTTCTGCATTCCCTGTGTAAGTAACCAAGGTTACAGCTACTGTATCACAGCTGGTGGTACAGAACCTGAGGCCTGGGAGAGCGTTTGAACAGCAGCAGAAAGCAACATAAAATGTAGACTTAAAAATACATTTTTTTTAAGCGTACAATTTTCAGTATTTTTCTAGCTACAAAAAAATCACTCCAGTGCTAATATAGTGCCAGATCCCCGCAGATTTTCCCTCCCTAAACCTCCATGAACTTCAGCGGGGACTTGGTTTCAGGTTGTGACAGAGCCCATAGCACGAGATGCAGGGAGAGGACGTTGATGAACCAGCACACAGAGGAGGAGCTACCTCCTCTCACGTGGTCTGTTTACTCACCAGAGGAAGACTTCAGTCCCCAGAGTCTTTCCTCTAGCGTATTTCCCAAGCACTAAAATATTAATGTAAAAAAAAATCTTACTTTCTTTTGGGGTGGGGGCTGGAGGGGTGTTAAGAGCTCAGCATAGTTTTTGAGCTGCCACAGGAAAGAATCTAAATCATCAGTCTCTAAAAGTTATTTTCTTATGATTAGAACTGTGGTAATTATGGGTACGTAAAGTCATATTATTATTTCACTGAGTCCATGCACGGTCATTTATAGAGCCTGTATGTGAATGCATCTTCTGCCAAGTGGAAACACTCAAAGTTCTTCCAGGCCCTGAAGGACTTTATTTGCCTGCTTTCAACAACTGGAAAGCAAAGAAAAAAAGAAACATTACTTTTTTTCATTAAAAGTACTTTCTAAGAATTGCTAATGGCACCTGTGCAATAAGTAATGTATACTATTTTTAAGAGTATTTTAAGAGTATTTCCTGAATCCACTCATTCTGTAGGTCACAATATATTCGTTTCAAACACGAATACCAGTTCAAACATCACATACTCTTGCAGACAACAGGAATACTGCTGGGTTTGTCTTTTATTAGGAAGGTAGAATTTTTTTTCTTTTTTGCTTGAGCCAAAACTTCACTATGGGGCCTAATACGTTTCCAGCAGTCTACTTTGTTCATGTTTTGGGAAAACAAGACACTTAATGAAACAGAGTAACTGCACTTGCAAAATGTGTCATTTTTATGACTGGCAAAAGCATTGCTTTTATAGCAGATACTGTTAAAAATATATATAATTTACCATAGGTGACAGTTATTCTTGCCTCATTGTGGTAAAAGTGCTCACTATAGCTACCAAAGTCACTTGCTCTACAAAAGTTACCTGAACATTCACTACTTCTCATCCGTTAAAAAAAAAAAAGGGGGGGGGTTCTGCCAATGAGACAATTGGATAAAATTTCTAATTTTATATCTAATACAAAATGATGAGCAAACACCTATTCGATGACGGGCACACCCCCTTTTATCTCTGGGTAGTCTCATGAATTCCTTATGCTGAATTATTATATAAATGCCCCTAGCAATAAAAATCATGCTCTTCATACCAACCAAAATCTCCAAAATCTCCGTCCTGTCCCTCCCGAAGTGCTCGGGAGGAAACACGTGCTATAGAGCACATCCTGAAGAACAGTCAGCATCTACTACGAGTGACAAAGTAGACTCCACTGCCTAACAGCCTTTTTTGAGCCCGTTGGTAACGGTGCTGCAGGGATCTCTCCCTCTTTCTACCTCAAAGAAGCTAGTCCAACTCATTTATTGGCTTCAAGGTCTTGCTCCTGATAGTCCTCTGTTAGCCCTGTTCCCCAATTTTTATACCGTCAGCAGTTATGGGATGTAAAACTATACCGTGGTATAAATGACTCACAACTAAAGCACTGACGTAAGCACATTTTATTGCCTGACATTTAACTACCTAACCAGGAAAAAAAGTAAAGCAACAAAAAGTGCATTTAGAGAGTGTTCTTCTTTAACAGGTTCAGAATATGTCCCAATCTATTGAAGTTTTAAATCTACGGACTCAGAGGGATTTCCAGTATGTTTTAAAAATGGAAACACAAATGAAAGGGCTGAAGGCCAAGTTTCGGCAA